TTTTGTTGCTTCAAAATCCCATCTAACTCTAGCTAAAGTGCCATAACCCCTAGTTAACCATCTGGTTCGTTCAAGCAACTTAGCCATCATAAATCCACAAACAAATCCCGTGACATCCCAATAAATCTTGGTGAAATCATCATGTTCCCATGGTTTTCCCATGGTTTTCCTATGATTTTCCTATGATTTTCCCATGGTTTTCCTGGTTTTCCCATGGTTGTCCTATGATTTTCCTGGTTTTCCCATGGTTTTCCTATGAGTTTCCTGGTTTTCCTTGATTTTCCTGGTTTTCCCATGGTTTTCCCATGGTTTTCCCATGGTTTTCCCATGGTTTTCCTATGATTTTCCTGGTTTTCCCATGGTTTTCCTATGAGTTTCCTGGTTTTCCTTGATTTTCCTGGTTTTCCCATGGTTTTCCGATTGTTTTCCCATGGTTTTCCTATGATTTTCCTGGTTTCCCCATGGTTTTCCCATGGTTTTCTCATGGTTTTCCCATGGTTTCCCTGGTTTCCCACACGCACCTCCGGATCTTGTGCATCCAGGTCGAAGCCTTCGGCGGAGCGCTTACGACGCTCCAGCAGCTCCAGCATGACCTACAGATGTTCCGAATTGGCTTCCACAGGTCCGACGTATAAAAACTCACTATATATATATATATATAACTACTATTTTTTTGGTGGTTATTATCAATCACTATTAGCCAGTATTAAACACTATTAGCCAATAAAAAACATACTATGTATATGTATATATATATATATCTGGTTGGTGGTATACCTACCCCTCTGAAAAATATGAGTTTGTCAATGGGAAGGATTATCCCATATATTGTGGAAAATAAATGTTTGAAACCACCAACCAGTATACATATATATATATATAAATAATATGTATGCATATTTTTGTGTATGCATTTTCCACCTATCCTGGATGCTAGCCTATACGTGCAGAGAAACGAATTCAATGACCCCATCAGGGTTCACCTAGTGAAAGCATGAGAAAGGGGCATCCACCCCATGTCATCGTAATCCAAGTATACTGCAATGTGTATATATATATATATATATATATCCTTTTCAACATGAATTGATTACCATTCCCCAATATATGTATAAGATTGTATCAGTGTATACAATCCAGCTCTTGACCATGTTACATATCATGGTTCCAGTTTTGAATCTTCCTTTATCATGTAATGTAGCATGGCTAGACTTCAAACGTTCAACCGTTCAACCCGGATTAAATCCAGATATGCCGGATGAAACCCCCATGTTCAACGTGTGTCTAAAAAAATGTTTTTTTTCCCCACCTGCCAGGTGAGGGTTGTTAGATTTTATGTCAGTTGCCTCCTCCTCCTTCTCCTCCTCCTCCTCCTTCTCCTCCTCCTCCTCCTCCGCCTCCTCCTGCCTCGTCCTCCTCGTCGTCCTCGTCGTCCTTGCTCAACTGCGACCCGCGATCCACAGTGTTCTCTGCCGGACCTCAACCACGACCATCCACGCCCAGTGTTCCCTGCCGGACCTCAACCACGACCATCCACGCCCAATGTTCCCTGCCGGACCTCAACCACGACCATCCTCGCCCAGTGTTCCCTGCCGGACCTCAACCACGACCATCCACGCCCAGTGTTCCCTGCCGGACCTCAACCGCGAGTATCCACGCCAAGTGTTCCCTGCCGGACCTCATGTAGGAAGATATGGGACAAAGAATGTGCAGAAGAAAGTTAGAAAGAATGTCAGAAAGAATGAGAAGATATGCCAGAAGATATGCCAGAAGATATGCCAGAGATATGCCAGAAGATATGCCAGATAGAATGCCAGATATGCCAGATAGAATGCCAGAAGATTTGCCAGATAGAATGCCAGAAAATATGCCAGAAGATATGCCAGATAGATATGTCAGAAGATATGCCAGAAGATATGCCAGAAGATATGCCAGAAGATATGTCAGAATATATGCCAGAAGATATGTCAGATAGAATGCCAGAAGATATGTCAGAATATATGCCAGAAGATATGCCAGATAGAATGCCAGAAGATATGTCAGATAGAGTGCCAGAAGATATGCCAGATAGAATGCCAGAAGATTTGCCAGATAGAATGCCAGAAGATATGCCAGATCATATGCCAGAAGATATGCCAGATAGAATGTCAAATAGAATGTCAGAAGATATGTCAGATAGAATGCCAGAAGATTTGCCAGTAAGAAAATGTATAAATGTCATGGTGGGGATCACACGAAGTAAAGTATTTTTTTTTTCTGTAGCCTCAAAGTAGCAAGTCCAATAGAGAAATATATAGAGGACATAATGAGAACGGAGGGATTTGGTTGCTTTCCCTATGTTTTGCAGACCAACCCATGCGCAACCCAGCTTAAATCACTTTTCTAATGGTAGAATAGGAAGTTGTAATCCATTCACCCAGGGTTCCCAAGGAAAACTGGGTTTCAAATAGAGCCTCCCAGGCCTAAGAACGGCGATGAAATCACTGGTTTTGTTGGATTTGATTTCCAGTATATCTATACCACATGCTGTATGTTCTTATTTCCCAGTTAATTATCATTGATAGTATATAACATCTCGATAACGTGTACCGGTTCACCACCCGAACAAGTTTAAAATGACGTCGTTCCAGTTCATCCAAATTCATGACGCCAACAAAGACAGGGAAAAAGAAACGTAACTTTCAACAATACATATCAACCTTTGAATCAGTTTCAACAATACATATCAAACTTTGAATACTTATCAAACTTTCAACAATACTTATCAACAACAACATTTTTCAGTTTTTGCGAAATTCATCGTGCGGCGTTTTGCGAACTTCCCCAATGAACTGCTGATTTCACCTCCCAGCATCAAGGAAATTCGCGAACCAATGTGAGGCCCCCGGCCACGATAGCTAAGTTGGTGCAAAAAACTCCAATAACTATGGTTTATGGTGCTTATAACGAACTAGTTACTGGGGCTTTTGTTAACCAACTTATATCTGGGGGGCCCCACATTGTACTGGTTGGTGGTTGAGCCACCCTTCTGAAAAAATATGAGTTCGTCAGTTGGGATGATGATTCCCAACTGAATTGGAAAAATACAAACCACCAAGCCACCAACCAGCAATAAATTTATCATCAGCCATATATATATATATATAAATCAACTATATATATATATAGATTTTATTTTATCATCAGCTATATAATTTACCATAGTAGGCACCATAAAATCCAACAACTTCCATTAGACCATAGGTGAAATGATCACAGGAGAACCGTTCTGAAACCCAAAGCTTTTTTCATGGCCGAAAGGCATGATGGTCCTTTTCCTTGGCTGCCTGCGAAAAACGGAGAAAAACAACGGTAGAAAACTATGTACCCTCTGGATATTTAACATAGCTATGGAAAATGGCCCATTTACAGCTGATTTTCCCATGAAAACTTCCATTCATAATGGGTTTTCCATAGCTATGTTAAATAACCAGATGGTATAACCAGAGGCTAATGTATGGCTAATGCTGTTTAAGTGATTCAAAAAAAAGGAAAGGGATTTGGACATGGAAATGTTGTTAACACAAATAGGCATTCAGCAAACCATGGGGGTTCAGCACAAAAGAAACTTGGGATTGAAACCATCAAAGACGGGGATACCCTGGAATCTATTTCCGGAAACACGTAAAACGTCGTTTCATTATCAACTATCAATCATCAACATGGTTTTCAAACAAGAAACAACGTGTTATCAAACCACCAAAGATGGGGATGGATTAAACACAAGAGGGGATACACAAGCATAAAGATACTTGTAGTTGAAGTTATGAGTGAAAAAACACTATATACCCTCTGGTAAACTAACATAACTATGGAAAATCACCATGTTCAATGGGTAAATCCACTATAAATGGCAATTTTCAATAGCAAACTGTTAAATTACCAGAGGGTAATCATACTTATCAGGATGATGTCACATCTGATGGAGGTAAATATCATAGTTGAACCAATTTCTAAAATCGCAACTTCGCACCCAAGTACTGTAGAACAAACAGAGCTTCCCAGCATGGCAACCAACAATTGCTTTCTGCTTTCAAGCACACATGAATCACAAGTCATGGTCAACCTTGGATACCCTACATTTAAAAGAATAAGAAAAACATGTTCTAGCTGCTTAGCAGATTCAAGTCTTAATACGTACATATACGTACCCACCCCAGATTGACTCAAACGCACAAACCATGATTGTCCTTGATTCAAACCAGTATGGTATTCCATCAGACATTTTTTGGGTGGCGCCTCATGCAGTGGATAGGGCAAAGTTTCCAGCTTTTGCAAAAGCATTTCCTGAGCCGCAGCCCCGAACCCTGAGCTGAACCATGTGGATTTCAGCATTTCACCAAAACACAGGGCCGTCAGTGATTTTTCAGCAACAAACATGGTCATTTGACCTTGACCGACATGGTGTTTCTTTAAAAAAAACACCACTAACTAAGAAAATCAACGAGCTTAAACATGTTGACGAAAAACATCAACAAAACATAGACGAATTGTTTCATCAACAAAAAACATGTTGACTTAACCGTTACACTTAACATCGTTTGTTTTTTCATCGCCAAAGGATTTCACCAACGAGACGACTTTGGATGATTTTTGTTTCCGCAAGTTTTTGATGCTCCGAAATCACGGAGCCCCGGAGCCATTTTCCAAGCTCCGGAGACTGCTGGTACCTCTAATTTTTGAAAATCTCGAACCCCAATGCGAACCATGGTGCTGGTATATTTACCATTATTTATTTACAAAACTGGGTGATTTATGGGGTAAATGTTGGTGTGCATATTCCAGCACCATGGTTCGCATATGGGGAAATGAAGGAATGTCAGACCCCCCAAGCCTTTTTGATTGGTGGCTCATCCCAGGAATCGGCATACGGAATGGGTTACAATGTGGGCTTCCCCCCCAAAGTCAAACGAGTTGGTTAAAAAAATCCCATCTCACTATATAGTTAAAAAACTACCTGGCTCACTTTCTTTATATCTCATGAATTTCAAGATTGTTTCCACCAACATGCCTGCCATCACACCACATCATCCATACCAAAGTGACCCATTCTTGAAAATATGTGCGAACCTTTTCACCTCAGCTGCGCATTTGTCGATCTTTTCTTGGTCGCATTTCAAGAAGGGGCGCTTCAGAACGGAAAAGGGTTTGTTTCGCTTGTTTCTGACTTGGTCGCAGTAGATTTGTACCAACAATCTTAGCATCCATTGATATATATATATATATATATCCATCTGATTGGTGGTTGCATATATATATATATATACCAGGAACATATCGAGAAAGGGTTGTTGTTGTTGTTGTTGCTGTTGCTGTTGCTGCTGTTGCTGCTGTTGCTGTTGCTGCTGTTGCTGCTGTTGCTGCTGTTGCTGCTGTTGCTGCTGTTGCTGCTGTTGCTGCTGTTGCTGCTGTTGCTGTTGCTCTTGCTGTTGTTGTTGTTGTTGTTGTTGTGGTTGTTGTTGTTGTTGTTAAGATTTCATCAACTGCATATTCTGGGATTCCAACATCACCAACAAGCACGTGTTGTTTATAGTACATCAGTATACTATGGTCTGTACGTACGTTTGGAATTTCACCGCAACCACCGGTGGTTATGTTTTTTTTGGGGCTAGGTGGACTCTGAATCGCATTGGTTTTCCGTAGAATGTGGGCCCACAAGAAAGCTTTAGTCGGTTTATAAGTACAGTAACTTCTAGATTGTGGATAGAAACTTCATCCATTTAATCAGCATTAATTGCCATGCTATCTATCCTCTGGTAAGCTAGCATAGCTATGGAAAATCACAATTTTTAATGGGTAAATCCACTATAAATGGCAATTTTCCTATTAAATTCATGATGGAAGCACATGGAAACCAATACAGTCAACTGGGTGAAACATGGTCAAGTTATGCTGCAAATCGCCTGAAAAAACGGAGCTGGATCAACCCCATATGATGATCAAATTAACAAATTATATCAAATTACCAAACTGAAGTACAAGCTGATATCCCCTATAAACCCTAGCAATATATATATATAATTATATATATATAATTATATATATATATGATATGTGATGGTTGTGATGCTTGTGATGCTTGAACACATGTTATTGAAAACCTATTAACCTGCTGCTCCCCATGTGTTGGATGACTACCTCCAATGACTTGGATGATGAAGATTTGGGGGTAGCCCATCGCAGGTGGCTTCTTCTGCAGGTGGCTACCTATCCTACGAGATGGCAAGTCCCCCACGTCATGTTTGTTGGTTTACAAACCCATCTATCTATTTAAATATATATATATAGGATCATGGATATCCCCTATAAACCCTAGTTATTGATGTTATTGCAATTGTAGCTACAAACCAAGTTAGCTATCGTTTGGGGGTGCTGAAAATGCTTGGGAAACTCTTAGGAGTGCGGATACCACTAGCTCCTGGGCTCCCTTCTAGCTGCTAGTTGGACCAGTTACCAAAACATGCAATCTTAGACTATGTGAAGAAACTCAATCCCTTGGGGGGTCCAGTTCTTTAAGAACCGGCCCTTAAAAACAAACCAAGGATTTTTCAAACGAAAAAAATCTGAGGGGCCGCTCCGCTCAAAATCCAAGGGTCTAATGTCCATCATCATTTCTTCATTGCAGTAAGTCAACGCGGCCTGGCAACGCGGGGCCCACCAAAAATGAAAGCTTAGTGAATTTTCTTCCAATGTATTCCAAATAGTTTATAGCAATTATAAACTATAGTTAATGGGATTGATTAAGGTTTTTATAAAAGCAAATAGCAATTATAAACTATACAGTTTATGGGGGTCACACAGCAAGTTACGACTGGCCCCGCTTGTGTTTATTTTGGACAGCACTTTACTGCACTTTCCTGGCCTTAACACCGTTCTTCCGCAAATCCTGTGGCGGCCGAACAACAAGGAATGAGCAGGAGATGGGGATGTTGAAATTGTGATATAATTACTGTAGTAGTTATCCACCAAAAATACAGTAGAAAAGAAACATGATAATACGGGAATGCAGTAGTTTTACCAATAATGAAATGCATTTCTCCTACCATTTTTTGAAATGATACTCATAGATATGCCGATAAATGTAGTGGTTCACCAGCAAACATAATTAATAGGAAAACCATACCAAAAAACATACCACTAGTCTATGTAGTGGATTTTATTGTTCCATCTTTTTTAGGGTTTGATATATTATTCCAAAGGAGAATCAAAGAGTAGCGCTCACACCCCAACAAAAGGGGCTTCATAGGCTCCTTTTTTTGCTGCAGTTGATGTGGCTTGATGATGCCAAAAACATATGGTGGTTTCCTAGAATAGGAGTACCCCAAAATCATCCATTTATAGATAGGGATTTTCCGTGATAAACCATCCATTTCGAGGTACCCCCGTTGATCATTTTAGGAAACCTACTATAGGAGGGCCTTGATAGCCTTAAACTGTTGTTCCAGAATTGAGTATCCCAAACCTGGCTTATTGTCACTTGAAGGTTCTGCATTCCATTGGACTTGGGAATATGTTGCAGGAAACACGTCTGGTGTCTGGTAAACTTTGGGGTATGTTTTGAACATTTTTTTGTTGGACATGTTTGAGCGCATGGCCAAAAGAAAGAAACCAGGGTGAAACAGCGGACATTTCGAAGAACTGACTCCCCAAGGGGGCAATTGTGAGGTCCAAGTACTTGCTGAAAGGATACGGCCAACCCATGAAGACTGGGATCATACAGGGTGGTGCCAGTTCGTGAACGCTAAATTGGTGCGTTTATAACTCCAATAACTATAGTTTTTGTTGGTGATATATCGAACTAGTTAGTTGGTTTATAAGTCCAATAACTGTGGTTTATAGGTGATATATCTATAGTTAATAGGATTATAGCCAATGTTTTTCACTGGGGGGATCACCACCTTATAGTTGGATCCATTTCATCATGAAAACAAAAAGGGGAACTGAGCCCTTGTGACAGCACAGTTCTGTGAAGACCCGCGTTCAGCCTAAAACCTTGAAGTTCAATCTTTACCACCGCATTCATTTTCACTATACCTCGTAATTTCGGCCCTTAAGAATTGCACAGGGAATAAAAACTCCCATAACTAATTGGTTATATATTATTATAAACCCAGGTCTAACTGTTCTGCTTGGTGGTTGAAACCCCTCTGAAAAATATGAAAGTCAGTTGGGATTATTATTCCCAATAATATTTTGAAAAAAAAAACATGTTCCAAACCACCAACCAGTGTTTATGACCATAGCTCCAAAGACATAAGATTTTCCTTCCGAAAAAACATGCTCCGGGTTGGTCTGCCTGGTGCAGCGACTAGATGAATGGGTTTGTTTCCAGCCCGTTATTTGGATGTAGCCCAATTTACCCTCTGGTAAACAAACATGGCTAGTGAAAATGGTGATTTATAGTGGATTGACCCATTAAAAATTGTGATTTTCCATAGTTATGTTAGTTTACCAGAGGGTAATGTACAAAAAACACCATTAAACATCATTGAACCACCATTAAATTTAACCTGATATCCACGTTTTATCTTCAGTTTGTTCCTGGTTCTAGGCGGTGATTAAATTAATAGCAGTATATAATTTTCTATGATCGAATCAATCAGTAACTTTTTACCACTTGGATGTGCACCCCACTTAGTAACTGCACTAGAAACCGACTATGAATATCCTATGATATATGTATATATATATATAGATAAGAACTGTGATATCGTACGGTTACAACCCACCTTATAGTATCCACATTAAAAGCAAAGAACAAATATGCCGAAAAGGATCAATTTCCAGGATTACGACAGATTTACAGTATCTTTTCCCATCATGTCCTACATATGTATCCCTATGGATCCAGCGGTATCTTCTTAGGAAGTGTGACCGGGGTGTGATGACTGGGGGGTGTCAACCGTACCTTTTTAGGAGGTGTTTGGATCCGTAGGGTATATATATATAATCCAATGAAGAATTGGTATAATAGTGGTTGTAGTGTTTTATTTGTCTTGTAGTCATAGTTAAATATAATCCATTATAAACTAATTGGATATACTCCACATACATATATATATATATATATTATTTGGGGATTATTGTAGAAATCCTTCTCCTAAGTTTTCCGCCTCATCTCAAGACCCTGGTGATTTTATTGAATGAATTTGTTCATTTGGGGGCTCAAATTGGCGATATTCCAGTATGTATATATATATACTGTATATAATAGTGGTTATAATGGCTATAATAATCAATTATAATTCATATATATATATATACACATAATATATATATATATTCTCCGTGGTTCTATAAATATAATTATATATATATCCATTAATCTATTTATATATTATTAATCCATTAATCTAATGAAATAATTCACTGACCTGAAATAAGGCCATTTTGGGATGAAGGGAGAACAGTGAGGCAGTGAGGTCGTTATCATTTGCCCAGATTAATCTAGTAGTTAATGTCAACCCTGGATTAATAAACACCAAACGGCTGTTTGATTGGGAAGGTGCCAAAAAAAAGTATCATATTATGACTATTGGAGGAGTACCCCCTAATTAATAAATCATGGTTTAGCAAAATCCGGATTGTAATACAATAAATTAAAATTAATATAATTGTTCTAATTGGTTTATAAACCATAGTAAGTATAGATATATCACCAACAAAAACCATAGCTATTGGAGCTACTTGCAGCAACTTAGCTAACTATGGGGCATCACCTTGTAGTTATGTAATATCTCCAGATAATTACTTGGTGGCTCATCCCACGAATCGTAAGTGGGTTAGTTCACCCCAGTGATTTACATGGGATTTTTGGAGCGGGTTAATCCACTGAAATCACTGGGGTTATAACTCACCAAGTATAATAACTAATATATAACTAAGTGTATATATACACATAATTATCCAGTATCCAAATATATATATATATATATAACTAAGTGGGATGAGCCACCAAGTACAATATCTCCAGATAAAAATTTCGCGCACCCGTCTGGGAGTCTGGGCCTGGAAGATGTGACCCAGCGCTGGATCCGCCTCCAAGGTTTCCAGAAGTTGCGTCATGGTACTGCTACCTGCGGAAAACCCATGGGAAAACCATGGGAAAACCTCGGGATAACATGGGAAAACCATGGGAAAACCATGGGAACATGGTGATTTAACGATTTCATGGGATTTATAGCGGATTTATAAGAGATAAGTTAAGGTTGAACGAACGGTTGACTGGTTGACGGGTTGACGGGTTAGGCTTTATTGCAGTTATAAGTTTATAACTATGGACAATCAACATTTTTAATAGGTAAACCATCTATAAATGGGCCATTTCCCATGGCTATGTTAAATAACCAGAGGGTAGATGGAATTATAAAACTGATTAAAGCCACGACCCATATCCAGTGGGTAAGGGGATTGTATTACAACAAATTGCTGGTTGGTGGCTTTAACCATCTTGAACAAATATTATTCAATGGGAAGGATTATCCCATTAATATATGGAAAATATAAAATGTTTGAAACCACCAACCAGAAATTGAATTGGGGCTGGTCTAGAATTTGAACTGGGGCTATGGACCCTCTAATCTCATGAAACGTTTTGGCACCATTTTGGTGCAAAGATCGTGGAAAATGATTGAAAATTACGGGGACAAATTGGGCCCATCCGAAAATCATCGTTGATGCGGTGATCCCAAAGTCAGCAAAACGTGCAAAAAAATGCGAAAAGCTGTTGAACATGGCCCTTGAAATAGTGGATTTACCCATTAAAAATTGTGATTTTCCATACAATGTGAGGCCCCCAAGATAGCTAAGTTGGTTTATAACTCGAATAACTATGGTTTATGGTACTTATAACTATAGTTACTGGGGCTTATAAACCAACTTATAACTGGGGGGCCCCACATTGTAGTTATGTAAGTTTACCAGAGGGTAATGTACAAGCCTACTGGGATTATCACTAGATCCGTACGTAGGTCATACACCCGCTTGACAACCATTGCTGTGCTCTGGCGATGGAGCATTCCAAACAAATAATGATAATAACAATAAGAATTAAAACCCACGGTATAAGCCTGTCATGCCAATCCAGTCCATGTGCTGGTACTATTGGACTATGTTAAGCACAGCCCAGAGGCACAGCTAATTTTCAGTGTATTCAAATGTCAATATCCAGAACTTTCAGACAGCATCAAGGCACAAAGCTTCATAAAAGGGATGTGGTACCATGCGGGTAACATTTTACAGTGCCCTAAAAACCAGATATATGAATCAGCAAGTCACTCCATTTAAGGAAGGATAACCTACAACCTCATTTACAACATTTTACAACCAAACAAATATATAAACAAAACTGGCTTCAAGGATTTTCTATGGCTTTAACATTTCTAGGTGACTGCAGGATGCATATGAAACCAGTCCTTCAACAGCAACGGAGCAAATCTGCCAAAAACATCTGCCGTCAAGCGACGATGCACTTTCATCTGATAATGTTCTGCCTCGAAAAAGCGTGTGATCTCATAACCTTGAAGAACGCCAGTAATCTCATCCCCCATGTAATCCAGTATGTATATACATATATAATCCATGTATGTATATATAATTCATATAATCCCATATAATCCAGCGGGAATATTCCTATATACATACAATGTGAGGCCCCCCAGTTATAAGTTGGTTTATAAGCCCCAGTAACTATTGTTATAAGTACCATAAACCATAGTTATCCGAGTTATAAACCAACTTAGCTATCTTGGGGGTAGATTATAATATGTCACTAACCTGAATTAAGGCCATTTGGCCATTTGGGGATGATTCCCCTATATCTAAACCATGATTTCCAGGGTTCGGGAGAACAGTGAGGTCGCAACATAATTTACCCAGATATGCCCTCTGGTAATTTAACACAGCTATTAAAAATGGCCATTTATAGTGGATTTTCCCATTAAAGATTGTGATTTTCAATAGTTATGTTAGTTTACCAGAGGGTATATCTGCACCAGTTGAGAGGTGGTGGATCCATGGATCCCACTATTAAAAAGGGCTGCCAATCCCATGCCAGCTGTTTTTGGCGCAGGATTTCGCAACCATCCAATGATAATCATTGGGATGTGATTTAGGATTTCATGGGATTCATAAGGGATTTCATGGGCTGAATACCCTCCGGTAATTTAACATAGCCATTGAAATTTGCCATTTATAGCTGAATTAGCCATTAAAAATGTTGATTTTCTATAGCTATGTTAGTTTACGGGCAGGACTGAGGGTTGTCCCGGTATGGTCGTATGAACGTCAGTGGGAAGCTCATTTCTCTGCGCAGGCGCAGTGTTTTATGACTCTGGTACATCTGTGAGTTAGCGTAGTCTAAGACGATTTTTTGGAAAAAATCAGTCAGAAAAGTGAACCCTCTGCGGACTTCACGCGTTTCGGCCATTTCCACTTTTCAATCTTTTCCACTTTTTGGCGACTCCGGATCTTATAACTTCTGTAAACCCTAAATGAAACCCCTAATAGAAGTATGCGTATATGTTCCATGGGGCCGGCGGATTTTATAACTTGTGTAAACCCTAATGAAACCCCTAATAGAAGTATGCGTATATGTTCCATGGGGCCGGGGGATTTGATAACTCATGTAAACGCAAAATGAAACCCCTAATAGAAGTATGCGTATATGTTCCATGGGGCCGGGTGATTTGGAACCAATGGGTTGCTAGCTCCGCTCACCCTCGTAAAACGAGGGGTTTTCCCTTCGGGACAACCCCTCGTCCTGTGGGTTAGTTTACCAGAGGTTAATGGGAATATAATATTAAACATCCCTCATAAACATAGTTTAGTCGCGGGTGAAATGAACTCACATATTTGGGATGGGGGAGCTTCGCCATGACACTCATGTGTGATTTTTTTCTGACAGGTACTTGGTGGCTCATCCCACTTAGTAAGTGAGTTATAACCCCAGTTATAAGTGGGTTGACCCTACGTATCCCATTTATAACTGGGGTTATAACATGTTATAACCCACTTACTAAGTGGGATGAGCCACCACATCTAAGATCATGGGACCCACGGATCATGTTTCGGAACTCCAATATGTCAACACCGTGTGACTTGAGCCATGCTCACGTCTAGTGTTTCCTATGTTTTGGAGCAACTCGTCAATCGACATATTTTCCGTTTCCTACAAAGTGGTGCACAAGCCACCTAGATAAATCCAGGTTTTATTCCCCATAAACCCAGCTGTTAAGCAATTTGTAAACCAACACAGAGTTGTTAGTTCACAAGGTGAAATGTCACCAGGTTATAACCCCACAATGTGAGGCCCCCAAGATAGCTAAGTTGGTTTATAACTCCAATAACTATGGTTTATGGTACTTATAACTATAGTTACTGGGGCTTATAAACCAACTAACATCACGGGGGGGCCTCACATTGCACGTGGCAAAAAAAAGGTAACATCTTGTCTTTGGTGCTCTCAAGTCCACAGCCGATCTGTCGTGCCCAATTCTGACTGTGCCCAATTCTGCCAGCTTAAGTCGTCAGACTTATGACCATGTTTTTCATCACTTGCCACAAGAAAAAAACAAGCTTTGTGGGTAAAGGTATATATATATAAATGATTATATATATATATAATTATATATATAAAATGTACTTCAGAGAGATGTGTATATCTATACTATGTATATTTATGCCCAATGATTGAACATTGAGAAATGCAATTGAGTATGAACACCCACCGCCAGTAATGCTCGAACCTACGAATGTGGGTGTGACCAGGCATACTTGGAATTATACATCACTTTTGTTGGGGAACCCTTCAATCAGCTAGGATTAATTTCATTAAACTTTGGTTGAGTGCACAATTAGAGTTGGGTTGAGTGATGCCCAGCAAATTGCTGTTGATGGTTGACATCCTTAAAGAATCGTGAGCAAAACACCAAAAAACAATGCGATTGACACAAAAAAAGAAAATCAAGCAACAATCAGCTAAAATTTAAGTCAGTCAACAAAACTCATAGCTAATAGTAATACAGACTATTTAGGATATCAACCACACATCATGGTTATGCTGGTTCAGCCTAAAAATAAGCTACCCCACACTAGAGAGTACAGCACCCCAGTCTGTCTCATGGTGGAAACCTTCCTTTCTTCCTATCTGATAGAGCCATGTGTGGATGACATACGCAAATGCTCAGCCATCACAGGTTATATCCCATCCTCTGTTTAAACCCAAATCATCCAGATATTCCGTAATTTGTCAATCGATCTTATGGTTTGAAACCTCAGGTTCACCCAATTCAGTTGTCGTGGTGATTGTACGGTACAATACGGTACAATGTACCTGATTATATCTTTTCATAATCCCATATGCCATATTGCTCAAATCATCCCTAATCCCTTTTGCCAAAAACAAAAACCACACATTAATTCCCTCATTCATCTGGATAAACTATAATCACTAAGCAAACACAAAGTTATTTGGGGATAGTTGCAATTAGTGTCTGGTTGGTGGTTTCAACCTCTCTGAAAAATATTAGTCAGTTCGGATCACTATTCCCAATATATGGAAAAATCATCCAAATGTTCCAAACCACCAACCAGAACTCATATGATGTTCAGTTCTCTCAGTTAATGATGGTTAAAAAACCATCATTCACCATCATTAACCATCAACCACCAACCAGGTGTACATTCTCCATCGAGATGTGGAAAATCCCCAAGTGATATCCCATTTAAACCGCTGATATGAGCCTATATTTTCATGATATTTTCCCATGGTTAAAGCATGAAACAATCCCAAGGATTTTGAGTCACAGAGTTGATATAGTTTGGTTGTTTTATCCCATTCTACAATCTGGGGCCCCATGGTTGTCTAAGTTGATGTACAACTAGGTTAACTGCTGGCTCTATTGTAGGTATAACATGCTATAACTAAAGTTAGATGGGATTGTGCATCAACAAACATCACATTGTACGGTAAGAAGAATGCCTTTGTGGGAATCATCTGACATAACCTAAATATAGTTGAATGGAATTATACATACATATATAAACCAACAAAGATGTCACTGGGAGGCCTTGTTCATGTCGATATATTTCCCCATCGGTTGAGCATGACGCCAAGGCCCAGCCAGCGCCAACCGGTCTCCCTCAAACAAGGCCATTTAGGGATCATTCCCCCGACTACCCTCTAGTAAACTAACATTACTGTGGAAAATCACTATTTTTAATTGGAAAATCCACTATAAATGGCAATTTTCAATAGCTATGTTACTTTACCGGAGGGTAACCATGATTCCAGGTCACAGAAAAAACACTTGAATTTACCCAGACAGCTACCCTGCAAAAACAAAAATCTTAGCTGGTGAACGTAGATAATCCAATTGATATCGAAGGACTATCCAGTGGATTCTCTCTTACACATCCAAGATTAACCTAGACATGACATATGGATTCTATCCCCAGTTTGCTCATGGGTTATGCAATTGATACCAAAAGACTATCCAGGATGAGTTTCTAGCCATCTAAGATTGCCCAAAATGGAGTGATGAAGCCCCATATTTGGAGCCAGGAAACCGCCGCACGCAGCTGCAACCAACCTTGCATGGCCTCCGGATTCCTTGCCATACCTTGCAATGTCTGCGCCTCAAGACGTTGAGAGCCAAGTGGGGAAAACTTGGGAAATTCGCCACAGAAAGCTATGGGTTTTCCGAGCAACTTGAAGGGTTTCCTGAAAAGAACATGGTTTTTCCCACCAATTTTCAAGATTTCTTGAAACATCTCGCAATTCCGGGACTCAGTCAACAATTGATAGAAATTGAAGTTTGAAGCGGTTTGAACTAGTAGAAATGGTGGTTTCAGGAGGTAGAAATGTGGGCACCAGTAAGAATGGATATTTCCTCCAGTGGAAAGGGGGGTTGAACTGAAAAAACATTGAGGGTCAATGCAAGAACTTCTTCCCAACGGACAACCGATATAAACTAGTGGGGTAAAACAACTACACTGTGGGGTAAGTTGGTTTATGACCAGGTCAGCCGTGGTTTATGGTAGGTACAACTATAGTTAGATGGGATTATAATTATGTTTTTTACTGGGGGGCCACATTGTAGCATCGGCTGATTAGTGTGTATGAAATAGCCTTGAGATAGCGCATATTCTCAGTAGAAATGGGTATGTATTACACACAGGAAGATGCAATAGGTATAACGGTATAATTTCCGAGTCATATATTAATATAACAACATAATATAACATATATGAATATGCAACATTATGCAACAAACAATAAGTTCGGAGGAATATTAAGTATACTGAGCATAGTGCAAGTCAGTTGTATCTGTTGTATCTGCTTGGTGAACTGACCTATTCACAATGATACAAATCTTCCATGGTGGGCTCGTCGGGCAAGCTGTGAGACTGTGTGACGACAACATTTGCAATGTGAGGCCCCCAAGATAGCTAAGTTGGTGAACATAACTCCAATAACTATGGTTTATGGTACACAAATAACAAACTAGTATTCCTGGGGCGAATCTAAACCAACGTTCACATCACTGGGGGGTATCACCTTCTGACAACCATGGTCGCTTGCCACCACTTGCATCCACTTGCAATATCTGGTGGGCCGCATGGTACAGTATGTGAACTTCTGCTGTGGCTTGTGAATGACCGTTGCGGATGTTTGACAAAAGTTGGTCTGGGTATCCCAGACTGTTTCGCTGACGCAAAGTAGGTATCTATTTGAGGCAGAAATTGTATATACCCTCTGGTAAACGTTTACATAGCTATGGAAAGATCCACCATGCTATTAATGGGAAAACTCACTGTTTCGACTGGGCCATTTTCAATAGCGAACTGTTTGTTTATCAAAGGGTAATCATGACAGATTTTTACCCACTTCCAGAGAAAAATCACTCAAACACGTCTAAGAACAACATTATTGACCAACATCCCAGGCCCACAAAGGTGCCTGATTCTAGAAATCACAACACGAGTGCCAACCAAACTTGCATCCTGACTTGAGGCTTGGTGGTTCAAAAAAATGGTCTACTGTAATCCAATCCCAAACATATGCTGGGTATGTTGATAAGTCATCCTCAGAGATGGGAAACATGTTCCCTTGAACCATGCTGCATGCTGGGACCCAGTAGAATTTACAGCTTTGTGTTCACTCCTGTTCACCCATTTTTTTTTTCCATGTGATAACGTTCAGTTCCAGGTAAGACACAACAAAGTCAGGCTATCTGCTAGAGAATCCCTCCAAAAACATGGTGGACATTCCGCAACAAGTTCTGGGTCAGGATGGGTCAACGTCTGAAAATCTGGTCCGTCAAGTTCTGAGTCGGTCTGTCCGTAGGTGTTTCAGATTAAGGGACCAATCCTCAAACATTGGATATACCCTCTGGTAAACTAACATAGCTATGGAAAATCACCATTTTCATAGGTAAATCAACGAACTAAATGGGCCATGTTCAATAGCTTTTTGTAGGTTTACCAGGCCGGGTAACGTTGGTTTGGTCATCAACAAAGATTGGGATTGGTGGATTGGTACTCACCCCATTCTTTGTTGCTTAAATCAGTTAATTCCCAGGATTATCCGATGTAATGTAGTGGTTCATCCCACAATGTAACTGGGGGGCCTCACATTGCAGGAATCGTGGTGGTTGGTTCACCGACATTTTTACGGACTAACCATACCAGGTGGTGCCCCCATAAACTATATAGATACATCATGATATATCACCAACAAAAGTTATTTGTTACGGACTAAGCATACAAGGTGGTTCACCCCACACCATTATACTGAGTATAACTAGTTCAATACATCACCAACAAAAACCAGTTCGTGAAATTGGAGTTATTAGTTCACCCCAACTTAGCTAACTCACTCACGACCGACACCACCCTGTCCGATTCCTGGGATCTAACAGCCGAAGACACTGTCTCCGGACATTTCCTGGGATTTCACATGATTGGCGTAGAAAATCCCATCCACTCAATGGGAGATCTCCAGGATCCAATTGATGGAGGTACGTGTTTACGTACCATACGTTTGGCCATATTTTCTGGGGATATTCCCTGAAAATTAGGCCTCAGAAATAGGCCAAGAATATATGGTATCTCCAATAACTCGGATCCTGGAATGGCCATTGATCCAATGGCTATTTTAATTGGATTGCTTTAAGGGAAAATCTTAACCGGAAACCATGGTTTCTACCATTAAAAATAGGGGGTTTTTCCGGTTTCAATTTTCCCGTAAACCAATCTAATGTTATTTCTAACTACCAAAAACTATGCTTGACCCAGTTCGAAACCAACCAACTTAGCTAACGTTGGAATTTATGTACGCAGTGGATGAAGGGAAGAGTTGTGTATATGAATATACTATTGTTGGTTATGTATATATATATGTATCCTCATTATATCATTATAATTTTCTTGGTGATTTCAACCGTCTGAAAAATATGAAAGTCAGTTGGGATGATTATTCCCAATATATCGGACAACAAAAATCATGTTCCAAACCACCAAGCAGTAATTATATCCATATACCCATTTTCTGGATTCAAATCAAACATTGAACAATGCCAGGAGTCAGCTTTCCAATCCGAGCACTGTCCAAAACCTGGTTTTTGGAAAAGGTTCTACTGGTTGATAGAGATAGAGATTCCCATTAAACTATCCAGTACCCCTCTGGTAATTTAACATAGCTATGAAAGCCATGGCCCACTTAGTTCGTTGATTTACGGAACGTAAAAATGGTGATTTTCCACTTCGCAAACTGTTAAATCACCTGAGGATAGATCCCCCTATTATAATCAAGCAAGAGGGTTTTGGATGATTTTGGGTGTTTTCTCAAAAATATTATCTGATTGTATACTGTATATGTATAGCAGATATTATCTGATAAATATATTTTATATCAGATATTAAATCGATAATGCCCAATATTATCCATGTTTTTCTCAACCGGACTTGCACTTAGAACATCAGAGCACTTAAGTGCCCTGTCACCTTTTCCTGGTTTTTATGTGTTGATGTTCTGAATGTGTTGGATTCTTGATTTTGATGCTCTGTGTTTTATACAATTGGAACCACCCAATCTTGATTTTCCTGCTGGAAAACAAATGTATGTTGATGGTTTCATTTGGATTTCCCATTTGATGTTCTAAGTGGTTGCCTGTCAGTATCTTATTATTCCCCACATCTTTGTGTGGGGTTCTTGTTTTTGATTCTGTATCCCGGGCTCCGCCTCCTCCGCCTCCTCCTCCTCCCGCCCTCCAACACTTTGTCCACACACACTTTGTCCACAGACACTTTATAACAGACTTTGTCCACACACACTTTATCAACACACACTTTGTCCACACACACTTTGTCCACACACACTTTGTCCACACACACTTTGTCAACACACACTTTATCAACACACACTTTGTCCACACACACTTTGTCCACACACACTTTGTCCACACACACTTTGTCCACACACTTTATCAACACACACTTTATCAACACACACTTTGTCCACACACACTTTGTCCACACACACTTTGTCACACACACTTTATCAACACACACTTTATCAACACACACTTTGTCCACACACACTTTGTCCACACACTTTATCACACACACTTTATCACACACACTTTGTCCACACACACTTTGTCCACACACACTTTGTCCACACACACTTTGTCCACACACACTTTGTCCACACACTTTATCAACACACACTTTATCAACACACACTTTGTCCACACACACTTTGTCCACACACACTACACACACTTTGTCCACACACACACACGCACGCAAACACACGCACACACACCCACACCCACACACACTTTGTCCACACACACTTTATCAACACACACTTTATCAACACACACTTTGTCCACACACACTTTGTCCACACACACTTTATCAACACACACTTTGTCCACACACACACACACACACACGCACGCACACACGCACGCACACCCACCCACACACACACACACGCACACACACGCACACACACGCACACACACGCACACACACGCAGGCGTGGCACAACCTGACATCCACCTTCGTTTCACGTGGCAGGCGTGGCACAAACTCACATCCACCGTCGTTTTGCGTGGCAGGCGTGACACTTATGGTACTGGGTGGCGCCCTTGGGCCCGGATTTGGCGCCTGTGACGCCGCGGCACTTTGCGTGGCAGGCGTGGCACAACCTCACATCCACCGTCGTTTCACGTGGCAGGCGTGGCGTGACACTTATGGTACTGGGTGGCGCCCTTGGGCCCGGATTTGGCGCCTGTGACGCCGCGGCACTTTGCGTGGCAGGCGTGGCACAACCTCACATCCACCGTCGTTTCACGTGGCAGGCGTGGCACAAACTCACATCCACCGTCGTTTTGCGTGGCAGGCGTGGCACTTATGGTACTGGGTGGCGCCCTTGGGCCCGGATTTGGCGCCTGTGACGCCGCGCACTTTGCGTGGCAGGCGTGGCACAACCTGACATCCACCGTCGTTTCACGTGGCAGGCGTGGCACAAACTCACATCCACAACAACTAGTCAGTGAAGTGAAATGGGTCATTTCGTGGCACAAACTCACATCCACCGTCGTTTTGCGTGGCAGGCGTGGCACTTATGGTACTGGGTGGCGCCCTTGGGCCCGCACACACACCCACACACACACACACACACACACGCACACACACGCACACACACGCAGGCGTGCCACAACCTGACATCCACCTTCGTTTCACGTGGCAGGCGTGGCACAAACTCACATCCACCGTCGTTTTGCGTGGCAGGCGTGGCACTTATGGTACTGGGTGGCGCCCTTGGGCCCGGATTTGGCGCCTGTGACGCCGCGGCACTTTGCGTGGCAGGCGTGGCACAACCTGACATCCACCGTCGTTTCACGTGGCAGGCGTGGCACAAACTCACATCCACCGTCGTTTTGCGTGGCAGGCGTGGCACTTATGGTACTGGGTGGCGCCCTTGGGCCCGGATTTGGCGCCTGTGACGCCGCGGCACTTTGCGTGGCAGGCGTGGCACAACCTCACATCCACCGTCGTTTCACGTGGCAGGCGTGGCACAAACTCACATCCACAACAACTAGTCAGTGAAGTGAAATGGGTCATTTCGTGGCACAAACTCACATCCACCGTCGTTTTGCGTGGCAGGCGTGGCACTTATGGTACTGGGTGGCGCCCTTGGGCCCGGATTTGGCGCCTGTGACGCCGCGTCACTTTGCGTGGCAGGCGTGGCACAACCTCACATCCACCGTCGTTTCACGTGGCAGGCGTGGCACAAACTCACATCCACAACAACTAGTCAGTGAAGTGAAATGGGTCATTTCGTGGCACAAACTCACATCCACCGTCGTTTTGCGTGGCAGGCGTGGCACTTATGGTACTGGGTGGCGCCCTTGGGCCCGGATTTGGCGCCTGTGACGCCGCGGCACTTTGCGTGGCAGGCGTGGCACAACCTCACATTTACCGTCGTTTCACGTGGCAGGCGTGGCACAAACTCACATCCACCGTCGTTTTGCGTGGCAGGCGTGGCACTTATGGTACTGGGTGGCGCCCTTGGGCCCGGATTTGGCGCCTGTGACGCCGCGGCACTTTGCGTGGCAGGCGTGGCACAACCTCACATCCACCGTCGTTTCACGTGGCAGGCGTGGCACAAACTCACATCCACCGTCGTTTTGCGTGGCAGGCGTGGCACTTATGGTACTGGGTGGCGCCCTTGGGCCCGGATTTGGCGCCTGTGACGCCGCGGCACTTTGCGTGGCAGGCGTGGCACAACCTGACATCCACCGTCGTTTCACGTGGCAGGCGTGGCACAAACTCACATCCACCGTCGTTTTGCGTGGCAGGCGTGGCGCTTATGGTACTGGGTGGCGCCCTTGGGCCCGGATTTGGCGCCTGTGACGCCGCGTCACTTTGCGTGGCAGGCGTGGCACAACCTCACATCCACCGTCGTTTCACGTGGCAGGCGTGGCACAAACTCACATCCACAACAACTAGTCAGTGAAGTGAAATGGGTCATTTGCATGCAAAGAGGCGGTCCTTCCGGCATGTTTCGTCTTTCCGTTTGCTTCGGCATGTTTGATTTTGGCTTGCTCGGCATGATTTTGACATGCTTAAGCACTTTCTTCTGTCATGCTTAAGCACTTTCTTCTATCGGCCTGCTACGTGCTTCGGCATGTTTGATTTTGGCATGTTTGCGTTTCGTCATTTCCGTGCAAAGATGCGGTCCTTCCGGCATGTTTTTTCTGTCCGCGTGCTTCGGCATGTTTGATTTTGGCATGTTTCAGCACTTTCTCCTGTCGGCCTGCTCGGCATGATTTTGACATGCTTAAGCACTTTCTTCTGTCGGCCTGCTACGTGCTTCGGCATGTTTGATTTTGGCATGTTTAAGTTTCGTCATGGCGGTGCAAAGATGCGGTCCTTCCGGCATGTTGTTTCTGTCCGCGTGCTTCGGCATGTTTGATTTTGGCATGTTTCAACACTTTCTTCTGTCGGCCTGCTGCATTCCACACACACACATGCTTCCGGCCAGGTGCTGGTCTTGCTCGTGGTCGAAAGGCAGCGCTCAATTGCGCTGCAGCAACGCTGTGCAGCAACAATATTACAGATGCTGTTTCTTGCATGCAAACTTTCATCCTGTCGTTCTTGTCGTTCTGTTGTGGTCGCTTTGGCCCAACTAGAAGTTGCAGACGACAGCTCTAGCACGTATACCACTACAACACAACTACAACGAGTCACTCAAGGTAAAGATGCGGTCATAGGATCCTCTAGTCTGGCAAGTTATATTCGTCAAGGTGCGGTCATAGGATCATCTATTGTTGCTCTGGTGGTTTTGGCCCAACGTGGAAAGAAACGATTGGAGCAGCGTAATTGTGCATTGGTGATTTTAGCCCAACGTGGAAAGAGGCCGCCGAAGCA